CAGAGAGCTTTGAATTGATTCAGACCTTTAAATTGGTCCCCAGATTCGATCTGGATTCGGTGGCCAAATCTCTGAATCTGTCTGAATCTCCTCCGAATAGAATTGCCACCCAAAGCTTCGCACAGCCCTAATAAGTACCCTTTGCCAGGCTGAGGAAGCATCTGCAGTTGGTGCATGCTCTTCCTCGATGGAATGAATAGCAAGAGCACACACCAACTGTAGATGCTTCCTCAGCCTGGCAAAGGGTACTTATACCCAAAAGCTTGCTAAAAAGAATTTTCCCAACTATTTAAGGCTGTCTAATAAAAGACATCAGATTTACCCAAAGAACCTTGTCCGCATATGTCCTTAGACCAACATGGCTACAACCTATACCCCTGAATAAGTTATCTAACCCAGAGATACTGCAAGTCCAAGGACTTCCCTTGGATGCACCCAACCAGCAATGCAGACTGCCCAGAAGAGATTCTGTCAAATGAGTTTATTTTTTGTGTCCAATTCTGCTTCTGCTTGTCAACAGGGGCAGAAGCAGGTCTTAGAAGTTGCATCTGCAAACCAGAACTGATTCCAAGGAACAGGATGGGTCAAGGGGTTGTAGGTAAGTTCCAGGATAATACATCTCTAAGTTGTTGGCAAAAGCTGGGTTTGCACAAGTTATACCCAAAACAATGACCATCTCTCAATAGCCTGTGTGAATGAGTTTGGTCAGCCAAAAAGGGCAGAATGAGAGAGAACAATAATTAGATTACTTTCATATTTTCTGTCTTCTGAGACTCTACCCTTTTCCCCAGAAAATGTTTGGTTTCCCAATAAAGGTTTTAAAAAATATAAATATGAATGACTGACTACACATGTGGCAAGTTACAGGTGTTTAAGTAGGCTGAAAAAGGGGAAAGTTCTAACATAGCAACACGTGATCAATGTGATACTACAAAATGAACAATATTTAGTAAGGCATGTACTTGTGTGTCAAGACGCTATAACTGTTTGGGGGTTTTTGTGTAAACGACCTGAAATTTCAACACACACAATGTTTTCCCTTAAAGTCTGGTCTTGATCTGTTTCCAAGGGACACGTGTCCACATCAGACACCTCCCCACAACTTGTTTTAAGTTGCAAGCCCTGGAGAACTGAGTGGATCTCCCAATCTGAACTGCTATTACCTGCAGGCTGATTATCAAAATTAAGAAATATTTGCAGGAGCCATTGGGAAAGATTCTTGCAATTCTTCTGCCTCGAGTGTAGTATTGTAAACATCAGGAATTGACAGCCCTTGAAATTACAAGTGCTAAGTACACCTGAAATGGGATGGTGATAATAATTATCCAAATTAATAATCTTAAACATTGAAGTTTGATTACAAAATTACGTAGTTTATATTTATATATACACACAGTAATTTTCCTAAAGTATCTTTCAAAATATTTATAAGGCCTATTAACTTGCTCTTACCAAGCCAAGGGCTGTTGTCATGTCCACAATCTGCACTAATGAGCTTTGCGCAAAGGAGTTGCATAGAAGGTGGCGATGCAATTCTCTGCACAGCTGCTCTTCAGCCACTTCTGTAGTCCAGGGGTGCTCAGATAATAGGGAGATAGATGCCTTAGACTGGAGCAGCTCCTGACTGCAGTTTTATAGGGCATATCTGAGATGCTGCATTGAGCAGTGATACAACTCCGTAGGCCACACATTTTGGTCCCCTTTTGTCAGGTGGCCCTTCTGTGGCCTGCTTCCTAGCCTGCTCACCTAAGGATCTGTGCCTTGGGCGCTTTAGTGCTACCGAGAATGCAGATGTTGTCATCTGATGTATTTGATATATTGCCATAATACTTGTTTGCTCATTTGTCTCCTTTTACAGTTACTTTCTTCTGATTTTTAAATGTCAAATTGTCAGTTGCTTTTTAAAGCACTAAATATGCAGCTGACTCCTTGAATCTGGGTGCTAGCAAGTTATAGTTAAGCAGCACAAACAGTAGAGCAAATAAAAACAAGGACTAGTATTCTCTGAAGTAGCAGATTTTTTTTTGCATAAATTATATAATTAGCCTGCTAAGCCATCATCCATTTTTTTCACACAAATGTTGTTTGCTTTATGATGACTATAACTAAAATGGATAATAACTCTACTGCATTTTTTAATTGTTATGTACCCAATATTTTTCTGACTCTGCTTTATATTTAGATTAATAACGATGTAATCACCTCATTAGTTTATTTAGATTGTGTCATTTTAGGAAATTGTTGTTTAGATCAGTCTTGTCCTTCCGTTCTATCTGCGCCTTCCCTGAATTAAATAATATCTGAGGGAAACCAATTAATTGCAACTAGACCGCTGTAATGGGGTCTGCCGTACAATGTGGCAACATCTAATGGAGTTTTAATTTCCCCATGGTGAGTCAATATTTGCTTAAAGAGAGAAGAATGTCAGTGCAAACCATTGCCCAAAGTGAGCTTGGTTAGAAAGACTAAACTAGCTGCGTTCAGGTGCACAGTGACTGGAAAGGGATCGGTGGGCCACTTATTTGAGCATGGGTGAAATGCATTAAGAGCCCTATCCTGGGAAATGTCTAGTATTCTGCCAAAGATCTAATTTTTTGAATGGCTCTAGTGGAGCTCTCCACAGGAAGAGCTCTTCGTTTGCATGAATGTCACCCTGAAGGAAAATTCCCAAGCAATAGGAAATCTTTGAGATGCACAGGGTTCACACTTTTGCTGGTGTGGAAAGTTTCCATGTGGCTCTTCTTCCCTGAAGTCCCATCTTGGGACATGGGCTAGCAGTGACATGACCAATGGAAAGCTTCCTTGCCGGACAGGGGAAGGGATAACAGTACTTGTCATTGCAGCTGAACGTTGGCATAGGGTCGCTGGATCAATAATGACATGTCTCCGGTGGTCCTAAACCACTGTGTGCAAGTGATACAGTAGGGCTGCTGTTCTTGTAAGAGCCCAGCTACTTTAATGGCTACAGCTCCAGACCTGGACCCTGGGTCAGACCCCCACTTCCCCAGAAATCAGTGCTTTTGTCCAGCTGCAGTGAACATCACTTAAGGTATAATTATGAAGAAGGCCAAGGGAACACTCCAGATCCCAGGGAAGGCGACAGAAGGATTGGTATTTACTTCAGTGGCGGCAAGAGCATCATGAAATGGGTGGAGGGGAGAGGGAGGCAGGGCGGGAGTAGTCAACCAGGAAGCGACTGTATTGACAATGTGAGGGTGCAAGATGCTTCTGAAAGAATCAGCTTACTCCATTGGAAAGTACTGGATATCTGGGAGATTCTGTTATTGTCAGTTAAATTAATGTAAAAGAGAAAATATTGGGGTTTTTTAGAAACTCACCGGCAAGGGCACATAAGTCTGGCTGATTCTTAGTATTGAAAATGGACAAGAAGTTTCTTTCCTTCCTGCTTTGTATCTAGCAGTACTCTGCTGGGAGGTATCTGCTGAAACAGCAAACCCCAGAGGGACAGAAGATGGTTCTATTTGGAGGCTGCCACGCACCACCATCCACAGGTCTTGTGGCATTACGTATTGCCTTGTCTTGACTCTTGTACTCATATATAGTTCGTGCAGAATCTGGTCCCTACACCTTTATAAGCTGCTTAAAACCCCTGAACACCAGGACGAATCTGTATCTGACTGATAGAGGCTTGTAAAAAAAAAAAAAATGGTTGTAAGAATTCTTTTTTTTTCAACTCGCATTTGTCTTGAGTAA